AGAGAAAATTGAAAACTCTGCCATAAAAAGAAGACGCAACTCTAATGGAAGACTGGAAAATAATTAAAATATAATTTAACGTGTACTGTAGCAAATGCATTATTGAGATCAAATGTTAACAATTATCATTTATGGATTGCATATATTTTATTTATTATTTAACCATATAGCAATCATTTTTAGTTTAATATCTTATATAATCACTATTATATTTACTTACATCTCATAAATTATGCTTATATTAACTTATATCTACATTAAATATAATTGTATCCATCTGTATTTGATATAATTACGAAATCAATTTATTACGTACAACGTAATCGTTCAATCAATGGAAGGTAAAACTATTATTCTTATGGTTATATATTATTTTTATTCTTATTATTTTATGATAATAAGTATCGAAAATAATGACATAATTAGTGTACAACAGCTTTCCAAACTTATGTAACAGTAGTTTAATAATTGTTAATACTTTAAAAATTACCGTTTTTTTTTTTTTTTTGTTTTTTTTTTGTTTTTTATAAATGAAATCAGTAACGATATTTTGCGCATTAATGTTCGTAATTACGCACTGTTCTTGTCTTTTCTCAAAATTCAACTAAAACTTCCTCAAAACCGACTATGTCTTTGCGAATTAATTACACGTACGAGTAATATCATTATCCTTCTTGTCACCAACTTCATATTATTTCGGACATTGTTACAATTTAGAACTATATTAGCAATACATATCAGTTTCTCTCTCACATCAACTATTTTTCTTCGAATCTTAATATGTTAAGAATAATAAACTATACTCATAATATATTATACGAACATTTAATAAGATATAAATTAATTCTTCTCATAAAACCTATTATACGTACACTTACATATCTTATTAGTTCGATTGATTTATTTATAACTCTAATTATAACATACAAACAATCACTGTCAGATTAACAATAGAACAAGAAAAACCATGTACAATATATATTTTCGGTGTTTTTAATCTCATCATATCAAACGTTTTATTTATTACCATTTTGAAAAATAAATCAATACATGTTGTACTGGATTTCATAAGTATATCTAATTTAGCAGAATATACAAAGATCTATATAAATGTACCTTGTATTTCATTTTTAACCCTCTAATTAGTAATTTTACATCTAGTTAAATTATTTGCATATTATTCATGTTTCCAGTATTTTTTTTATTTTTTTATTTTTTTTTGTATATCTCTGGATTAAATATTAAAGATAATTGCCTAATTATTCAAGAACACATTCGGCATTATTATAGATTTTCAGATAGATTTCGATAGCAACAAATTTTTTAGTATTCATTTTGTAATTGATATTATTGGAAAAGTTATATATATATATATATATATACAATCAAAATTTTAATAAAAATAAACGTTTAAATTATATATTAACTATACTGATTCTACTTTTAAAGTCTACAATGGGAGAGATTAATTGCGTTCGATAAGTAAACCAAAGTAGAACTGTATACTATGTACTAACGGTTCTACAATATAAACAATAAAATGAGGCATAAACATCTCTTGTGGCAATTTGATTTATTAATTGATGATTTATTGATTGTATTTTCATAAAAAAATTAATTTAATCATAATGTTATTATATCCTTTCCTTAAAAGATTTAACTTAAAAGTCACATTATATATGTTAATGAAACAAATTAATTCCAATGTATATATATAATATGACTGAATTTTTCATTAGAATGATTGAGTTATTATATATAGAATTATTATTCCCGTTACAACGCGATCGATTGCAAGTCACACGAAAAAATAGGTTCGGAAGCTCGATCAAGGATTCGTGCAAATATTCGAGATTTATCGCAACGAAATTTTTACCACAAACGTTAAAATGCCATCGTCTTGATTTTATTTAGCTAAAATTTAGATAAAAGTCGAATTAAAAATGCGTACGATTCTCCGTCTCTTTACTTCTAAGCGGAGAACTTTTCCCTTTTCTAGGATTTCATTGGATGGGCGAATAATTTTGAGACTCGGTACTCCCAGACAAATCCCAGGTAATTAGTTCACAACAATTGACAATGAAATCGAATACTTTGATATCGTAATAACAACAATAATAATAATAATAATAATAATAATAATAATAATAATAATATTCCCATAGGCCAATGTTAGACGCGGGGAATAAAGTGAAAGTAAAAAATCGTTAAAAGGCAGGGAAAAAAAATAAAGAAGAAACGTGGATGAATTTACCGTTGCGGAATGTCGCCTTGGAAGTGGAGGTGGTATGACACCACTTCCAGGAAATAGTGAATCCTGGAAGAGGGAACTTCTATCGGGCAGTCCCATGCTGTATGTTCTGGTTTGCCTGCAAAATAAAGCCCGAAGGTTGTTTTTTTCTTTTATCACGTGAATTCCCTTTCCACTTTGAATTTGAATTTCAACCAATATTTTGAAATTATTTTATCATATGCAATATATTCATACATACATATATATATATATTCATACACACACACACACACACACACACACACACACCCACACCCACACACATATATATATATATATATATATTAAAGCTTAGTTGCGTTAACATTATGGTACATAATTCCACAGGGCTTATCGATTAGTTTTGAAAGTTGCTTCAGTTTGCTCTAGACCTCCGATTCATTTTCTGTTATATTTGTAACTTAAGAATATCTTGGGTCGGTTTAAAGGTAAATTTAAATTTTATAAGTTTGCCAAATAGAATAAGAATATATTATTGAAATAAAATAAACGTTTATGTAAAAAAGCATTGATATTAAATGAATTAAAACTGTCATATTATATTAATTATGACAACTAAACCCGATCTTCGTTTAGGTTAATCATTATTTTTAATGTTTAAAATTTTTCTAATGATGCTTTTGAATAGAATAATTAAATATAGTTTCTGATAAATAAATTGTTTGTATAGTTTTATATATTATATGTATAAATTGTTTAAGAACTCAATAGAACATAGTTGATTTGATTTATTCAACTAAACCAAATATCATATTTGAAAATTCATCAAATATTTTCATTATATTTTCTTATTTAGATAAATTATTATTGTTATAAATATATATATATATATATATATATATATATATATATATATATATATGTGTGTGGGTGTGGGGGGGGGGGGGGGGGGTGTAGAATGTGTTAGTACGCATTAATTTCAAGAAAGTTCGTACTCGAGTGTAAATGGATTTTGATTATTTGACGTGCATTAGTATACACAATGCCTAATGTACTAATCTCGTGTTGCTTTCTAAACTATTGTTAGTTGCAAAATTGGGATTAATTCAAGAAGTCAAATAAGACGTAAGACGTCACATTAAATGACATTGCTGAACCATTCAAATTATGTTTGTATTCATGAAAAATACTTACATTCATTAATACAGTTAGCAAATTTTACTATATATTTTAGAAATGGTAACGTTGTAAGATAATAAGTTCTCTTTTTATGCACTATTTAATGAGTTTTCGCATTGCTTCGTCAACATTTTAATAATTATTCTACAGAAGTACATCCATCATACTGTCAGAGTTTAATTCTAAATAATTCGATTTTTTTTTTTTTTTTTTTTTTTTTTTTATGACAAAACTTACTATTTGTTACCTTTTAAGACAGTATGAGAACATCAAAAGTTATTTGATTAAAAATTATTATCCCATTAACGTTTTATTGTCCTTTTTCATCGTAATACGTAACAATTAAAGAATTCTTTAGCTATTACTAATAAAATCTGAGTTATTTACTTTACCATTTGTTGATTGTCTATTTTAATTTTTAATATTTAGTTGCTGAAGATTCGTTAATTATGTTCAATTCAATTGGTACGCAATATCCATTATTTATTATGCCAAACATTGTAATAATATAATGTTTAATATTAGCATAGTAATATACCATGACAATCTGCCATAATAATAACAATAATAAATGAGAATTCCTGCTTAATAACTATTATTATTATTATTATTATTATTATTATTATTATTATTATTATTATTATTATTACTATTATTATTATTGATTATATACTGAAACATATAAGTAATTAAAAATATAATTAATTATAAGTAAATACTCTAAAGATGTTTTTTAAGTTTTTCTTTAAAATGAATCGCTTTAAATATTATTTTATCATTTTAAATATATTTTTTATATCTCTATATTTTATGTTTATTAAAACCATTTATTGTGAAAAATATTATGTACGTATGCTATTAATGTTTTTACCGCAATTATATTTTACTTATTTATATTGAAGATACCAGCGAAAAATAATATATATTTGGAAATGAGAATCTTGATAAAGGGAAGCTAAATTTGAACGGTTTTGAAGAATTTTTTTTTACACAAATACTCATTGGTGCGAAAAAATATGAAAATTCTTACAATTTTCTAAATAAACTATCTAAAAATTCTAGAAAAAATAATAATGAAATACAGTCGAGCCATTAATCTTTTCTATATCTATTAATATTAATATCAGTACAATGCTTTCCAAGACCAAGCAAATGGATTTAGAATTAAAGATTGTACGTTGAATAATTATTTCTATCGCTATCGAGACAATTATGCAATTTTATTTTTTGATAAATATATTAATGCAATGTAAAATGTAATGTATAATGTAAAAGAATTATATTTTTTTGTAGAATTGTAAAAAAATATAAATACCATTGAAAGAAATCATATTTTCATTTTATATATTGAGTATTTTCTAATTTTCAATGCTCATACAATATTATATCTGGATAATTTCTCATTGATAACTAATGATATACATTGTTGTTTTACAAATATAAGTGAAAGTTTTTTAAACAAATGTTATGTTACGCGAGGAACTTGTACATCAATTTTTATAAATTATAAGAATTTTGAATATATAACTAATCTATTTTGTTTAAATATATATAAATTATATCTCTCCCTTACCTCGGTTGACGCGTTGGATTCATGTTCACCTATATAAATTAGCTTCAAAAATGTTGTTAATTCTGAAACAGATTAACACGAGAAAGATGAAATTACCGAGTAATTAATGCAATGGAGCAATTGCAAGTAAATAATATAGATTTTTGGAATGGATTAGATTAATAATAATGTGCGATATTATTTGATTTAGAAATTTTCAATCGATATTTATCATTGCGTATAATTAATGGGGGTCCTAAGGACTTAATGATCTAGTATTCAATGTTGATCATACAACGTAATAATAATTGCTATCGATACTAGTACAATATTATGTCATTAGACAGGCCATTAGATGTTTCACATGAATATATAATAATATATACTTATTTATATATTTGTTTATTTATTTATAATCATTCTATTCTATTAAAGTGCAGTTAAGTTAAATGCAATACGATAAATAATTCGTTATAAATCGATGTATTATCTTAAAAAATACATATCTATAATATAAAAACTATATTTATATATGTATACGCCTTCCTTATATAACGACGTATAAGAAAGTTATTTTATTGTTCAATTTTCCTTAAAATATTTTCCCTACTTAAATATAATGCGAAAATAATATTCTTAAAAGTGATTAGATAGTAAATTTAAATGTTACATTTATAAATTAAAAATGATTGAATTTCTATATCTGACATGGACAATTTTCTTCAACCGTTTGCTTTTATCTTAAGCTTTCAGTTTCTATTATAATTGCCAAATGTTGCAAAAGAAATTTCTAGGTAAGAGATTTTCTAGTAATTTACATACTGTATTTAATCAAGATATATAAAGTAATAAGTTGTAGAGCTTCGATGGTAGTAGCTTATTATTTAATTCCTCTTATACAATCTAAGTCTTTATAGTCTAGAAGCCCCGTAGACATTATTAGCAAAAGAGATTTCGTTCAATCTCTATCATTTTAATAATAGTGTAGAAGCTATAGAAGTATTATTGTTTTAAAAGTTTTCGTGGCGCTGCGTTAATTTAAAAGTCTATATCTGAGCAGAAAATCTCCATACTTTTTACAATACTAAAGTTTTTTTTTTATACAATAGCTATTGTTGTTTTACCTAGCACATAAAGAATAGTGTTAGTGTTTTTTTTAAATTTTTGTCAAATAAACTATTTTATATTTTGACGAAGAATATTGTTAGTATTCATCAATGTTATTAAATATTATCTTCTATATTTAAATAAATAGTATAAAATGAATCACTTTAAAGTCTTAAAGAAAGAAATTATTTGAAATTCTCTGCGTTACCAAATTCTTAATTATATAAAGCTTAAACAGTATATAATGCTCACCAATACCTATAATATATTAGTTTAAAACATGAAAATATTGAATTTTTATTTATTTTTTATTTTTTATACTAAATTTAATATTACATTTACAATGTAATTATCACCAAAATCGTTAGGAATATTGATTGAAATAAAAATGCATATATTTTATATTTTAATATATTTATCAATTTCTAGAATATTTTGATAATACATAATAATAATTAATAATAATAATAATAATAATAATAATAATAATAATAATAGTAATAGTAATAGTAATAGTAATAGTAATAGTAATAATTAATAATAATAATTAATAATAATAATTAATAATAATAATTAATAATTAATAAAAAAAAAAAAGCGCATATGATGGTTAAAAATGAAAGCATTCTTTTTTATTGGATAAATTTTAATCAATTAATTAATCTAAGTATAATAGATATTTATAATTGGATGGTTGATTCTGATAAAGATTTTTGAAAATTAAAAAAATCTTTTAGAAATATGAGATATGACATTGCAAATGTTATATAGGTTAACTATTTTTCTATATTAGAGACATTTTTCTAACGTTACTTTTCATTTTTACTTTTCAACTGTCCTTAGCTAAAGTATAGTAAATCGTATTATTTTTTTAAAAATAATTAACATTTAGTCAATTCGATAAATGTATTTATTATATTGATACTAAGAATTTTTAAGAGGAAAGATAATAACTCTTTCTATTTAATCCTGTCTATGCTTTCTTTGTTTTTTTTTTTATATAACAGTCTTTTATGTTGAACTTTAATAAACCAATTATATCTTAATTGTGAATATATAATTTATATAAGTCTGAAATAATATTTATTGAAAAAAATAAATAAATAAATAAATAAATCTTATACATTTTCTAGAAATTTACTGTATTATTATCTAATTACCGATCATTCATCTAATTAGTAACTACAAGATTCAAAGGGATGGAATTTATTTACGACTTTTATTTTAGAAACAACTTGACTTGAATTAATATTTCTTGCTATGCATATAAATTACAATATTATTTAGTAATGA